ATTTTAATTAAAATAATAATGGCTGCAAATAGTTTTTCATGCTTAGTTTGCTTAATGCATTAACATATATTAAAGAACTGAACCGTACTGTACTGTGCAATGTTAGGGGAAAAAATTATATAATTTTATGAGTACACACAGAGATCATTATCTTTTAAATTCTCCTTTAATATTGTAAAGGTCCACAATGCAGTTTTGTTTGTTTGTGCATCTGGCTAAAATTGTTTTATTATTAATAAAATGTATTGATTGACTTCAGTTATTTAAATCCTTCTCATTTCATCTAAGGGGAAGTGCATATTTCATAAACCTTGCCATTTTTAATGACACACACATGAATGAGTGTCAGATCTAAAAATAGCCTCTGCTAATGCCTATTCTATTCCCTTCCATAAACTTTCAAGTTTATTCCTCAACAAATGCCACTGCAAACATCTACAATGATGTCTTACATTACCTATTCACTTACATGCACACACGTTCTTTACTCTGAGTTGTGCATGCGGAGCGATCATAATGAGCCTCCTCTCATCTCCTCCCAAATGGAGAAGGTGTCAGTCTTAATGAGCGCTATTAAAGGTAACTTGCACCATTATCACGCCACCTCTGTTATTTATGGCAACCATCAGCGTCTACTTTTAGAAGCCCAGCTCAAAATGGATTCCGCTAAACGGGTTTTCATGTCCAGTTGCTTCCTCTCGTGATGGGAGGTCTGCTACTGTATCCTATTCTAATCAACTTGTACAACTTATTAAGACAGGTAGATGGAGCCGCTTTGCCCCGAGGAGCGCTTCATTCAGCCGCATGGCAGTTTATGAATCTCGTTGCCAAATAATGAGCTCTTGGCTCTCAGCTAAATGTGAGTGAGGCTTGTGGCCCACCAGATGCTCTCGCTAATTCCATTCACATCATACCTTCTTAGTGTGAAAGCTCACTGTCAGGATATTAGCATGTGTAAAATGTACGTTTGTACCGGATATTCCCAGCAACCTATTTGACACGACTCCATTTATGTGCTTTTGAATCTAGGAATTATCGGAGAACAATAATTACTGCAATTGGGAAATACACTCAGTACATGTAAATGGATGTAAATAAATAAATAAGTTAAGTGTAATTAATAGGGTTGTCTTCCTTGCTTATATTAACTATTTAAATCTGCCTTTAAGATGTTGGTTCTGTGCACAGCCGACTGAAAACAAGACAGTTGCTTAGTATCATGACAACAACAAAGCAGCTCTGATGCAGCATTTCATTTACACAGAACCAAAGCCAATGAAATCTAATCTTACCTAAAACTTGAACACTAATCTTATGCAGATTTGCAAGCTCTTGCGTTTCCTTCAGGAAATGCAAATCTAGTTTTACTCATCCCCTACAGAAGTTAAGATGGAGAAGGAAATGTGTTGCTGTAGGTTCGTTCTTGCGTCAGATGGCATAACTTTATTTGTTATTTGTGTCCCAGAGATTCTATTACGCTGAATGAACACTCACTTTGCAGGAATGGAGAGTCATCCACCTGAAACTGTTATTATACAGTTGAGGCTGCTCTTTAAAGAATAGTGTCTCTTTCTTGCTTTGGTTGAGGTGAAATCGATAAACACAGTCCATTATCTTCTTGTCTTGTTGGATTGTGTTTTGAATGGAGAGTCCAACAGTGAATCTCATTCTCCACCAGGTGCATAAATGTGTTCAACTTAATAGCTGGACAACTGTATATACTGATGCTCTGATATTAAATGTTGCACATGCTTAAACATAGGCATCAGATATGATAACAGGCATACAGTGGGTACGGAAAGTATTCAGACCCCCTTAAATTTTTCACTCTTTGTTATATTGCAGCCATTTGCTAAAATCATTTAAAATAATAATAATAATACTAATAGATTTTATATTTTTAATAAACAAAAATGACTGGCCTACCAAAAATTGCTGATAAATTTCTCATTATGGTATACAGTATATTATTACTAAATGCCATCTGACAGGCCCCTATATTTATGTTCAGTTATTTCAGTTTAATTGCATAGAAAAGGACCTATACATTGTCATTAGAGTCAAATTACTGAACCTAAACATAGCAGCCTGATAAAAGTGCTCATTTTAGATAAAACATTTCAGATGGCACTTAGAGGCTTTTGTATCTGAATCTCTTCAAATATTAAATTACATTTTTCTTTCAATTAGCACAACTTTTGTGTTTCTTTTTGGCACTGATTGATCATATGCCTCATTGATTTATTCAAGCTTATTCACCTCAGTTTTTGAGTAAACATTGCTAAAATTATCCACTCAAAAACTGAGGTGCATACGCCCAGATCAATGATGCCTATGAAGAATCAGTTCCAAAAAGAAATGCAAAACCTGTTCTAATTTAAATAAAACAAGATTAAATCTAAGACTGGACATTTCTGACCAGGATTACTAAATTAGATTTAGGAATTTCAGCACAGCATGTGTGTATTAATGTATACACACATGTATGCACTGAAATGCATTTTTAGCATCTTTGAAGAGTACTATGCATTGCCATGAATGTGCAATTTTAGAAGACGTATGAGAGTACATACAGTATACAATAGTATTGAGACATGCCAACACTATGATTTATGAATCACAAGAGATTAGAATTCACAGCAGGTACAAGTCTTCAATAAGAAAGACAATTGTTTAAGACATAGCCTCACATCTATGTGAAACAGCTGGGAAAATCCCCAAGTAATTGCCTCTCTAAATGATTTGATGTAAATGCAGAGACAAATGAATAAATCACGGCTTGTTTCCTGTTTGTTTGCCGAGGCTGTTGTCGCCATTTGCAAATGACAGGGCTGAGGTGTGTGGAGAAGGGTGCCAGCAGTTCACGGCGCACCAGGCCTGTGATTAATTCCACTGACAATGTAGTAACCAATGATCGATTGAGGAAGCTTGGGCTGTAAAGACCGTTTCCCCTTCACTTACTTTGCCTTTTTCAGAAGACTTCTGATATTTTGATCACCGGTAAAGGCTGTGTCAGTGGAAATAATCAATGACAGAGAGAAAGAACCACTGGAGAGCAGCTTGACAAACTGCACAGCAGAACCGAAATAGAGTTAAAGAGGATGTTAAGCAGGATGCAAAATGTGAGCAGGTTTATATCCATGATCATTTTCTGAGGTGACAACCACAAGAGTAAACTACAGATATCAGTAAACAAAAAGCAGAGAAATAAATCACATTGTTAGGATTGTGATTCATAATTCTAATTTTGTGTCATGGGACTTGATTGTTCATGTTCAATTTGTAGCAAAGCAGCTCTCGTCAAGTTTTAAAATGAATAAGGATAGTTTGGCAATACTAGTAACACATGTGAGTAATATTAAGATAATATGTAGATAAAAATAACTTCTGCTTGCCAAACTTTATCTTCAACCTTAATATTCAGAAATTAACATTTGAATTATTGATCAATATCTTGATCAATATTTTAACTACTGTATCTGTGAAGGCTTCTGTGACTGGCAGGTGTACAATTTATTTTTTATTGATATTATTTTTAATACATAGGTCTCTTGCAGTGAGGCTAATAATTTATTAAACATCTGTAACTGCAAGATTTAAGCCCAAAGGGTTGACTGACCACAGTCCAGAACACTCCTGATGTCTGCTTGATGTTTGGCCGCTAGAGGGAGCCAGTTGAATCGGAGCTTCATATGTATCTTTACCTTAAGAGTCTTCAATGCGTGTGGACAAGAAACGTGTCAAGATAAATCTCATGTGCACTAATGAACGCTGAAAAGCTGGTGGGTTTATTTCAGTGCATTTCCTCATTGAAAAGTAGAGTACATGAGTGAGTGCATGTTTGCAAATGATGCATTTAATTTAATTAGGAGTTGATATTGAACAGTGGAGCTGCTCACAGCATCAGTTCAGGGTCGTGTGAAGATACTAAAGTTGTTGTTGTTGATTTATCCAGCGTGATCAGAACCTTTAGCTGTACAGTTGTGGGTTTAAACATGATTAAATGCTATTTTAGATTTGTCGACTCATTTGTATACTTTTAGAGATCCCTTCAATACATTCTGATACATGAGCTGTGCCAGCTACTCTGAATTTCATCCCTCGTCACCAAATGACCCTCGCAACGTCTCGAAAGTCTAAATACTGAACTCATGAATATATGCCTGTTTTTTATATGAATATGCATATGTTTCATGTTATATATGTATGTGTGTGTCGTTTTTGTGACAAATGAGGACATACATTTGTATAATGACAAGGGTATGACATAGGTATTACAAGGAGGAGGTGACTTTTCAGGACATTACCCCATGTCCCCACTTTTCAAAAAGCTTATAAATCACACAGAATTTAGTGTATTGAAAATCTGAAATAGCACAACGTTTCCTGTAAGGGGTAGGTTTAGGGGTAGGGTTGGTGTAGGGCAATAGAATATACGGTCTGTACAGTATAAAAACCATTACGCCTATGGAGAGTCCCCACTTTTCACAAAAACAAACCTGTGTGTGTGTGTGTGTGTAGCTACATTGTAAAGGAAATTGTATAGGGGTGAATCGAGGTTAATTGGGACATTTTCCCCAGTCATCTCAAGGCAAAAGTGTCCCAATGTATGTGTATTCACACTCACAGTTGGCCAAAAAGCAAGTCTGCCGCTGAGATGCTTAAACAGCACCACGTATAGACTTTGCGTCCTGATCATGTATCTACAATCTCGTTGCATTCAAATCACGAGCCAATATGAGACGGAAAGCCAGGGAACCGTCGAAGAAGTGTCAAGACGCGACACATGTACGAATGCTTTGTTAGCAGAATGCGTTCAAAAAAAAAAAAAAGTGGGGAAAAACACCAACGCACTGACATAAAAGTTCAGTATTCCCAGGGTAGGGCGCGTGCATTCATTGCCAGGGCTGAGGACCTGCCTCTTTATCAGCCCAATGAGCGCGGCAGAGGGGAGGCTCTTCCCACCAAACACCTCTCGTCCATCTCTCCTCACTCCTCCACTGAGCGAACGGGCTTGCTGGAGCTCACCGACACCCTGTCAACGCCAAGCCACTAAACTGTACGGATAGTAATTGTTCCCAACCGCGTCTGTCAACTTATTTGCTTATTTTGTTCTTGTCCATTTTCAATTGACAGAACATTGACAGAAAGACAAGTGCCTGCAGTATTGCGAAACAAGTCACGTCTTTTCCCCCTTCTCTGATATATTTGTTTTTTATCTTCTGTGAATGACATGGAACGGACGTCCGGATGAGATACAGTAAGTACTAAAGACTCATTAACAGGCGCAGATTTGTGGTTTGGCATGAGGCGCGTGCATTTTTGCTCGACTGAAATACTGGATGTTTCGCTTGATGCTGTTTGCGCTACAGTGATTGATCCGAGAGCGAGACAGATTGACAGCCTGCAGACCAAACCGTAAATACGCATTGTCCGTTATTTGTTTTGCATATCGTTCAGGAATGTCGTGTATCGAATATTTGTGTTCACTTTACACCAGAACGTGTTCTGGGAACGTCTTGGTTAATCAACTTAGTCAACTCGCTGTGCCGTGTGTTTTATGCAGTGCTCTATACTGCTTCTCTAGAGTATCCTTGCCTGCTTTTTAAGTATCGAAATCCTGCTGTTCTTACTCGTTCTAAAGAGCCAGAAAGCGAGCTTAACTAGTAAACGACTTTTTTTTGGTGAGGAGCTGTCCACTTATGCTGGTGCTGAAATTCGCCAGTAATTCAAGCATCGCCTCTGCTCGCCGAGTCTGTATATAGTGTTAGAGTGCAATAAAGCTTTACTGCTCACTGAAGTTACGCTGTGGAAGGAAGACTAAGCGGTGAATGTTTCCAATGGGTGGCTTGCTTACTTGTCTACAGTGCAACACTTGACTGTTGTGTACTGCATTAAAAGATGAAATGTCAGAATTCCTCTTAGCTACCTTTCTGCTGCCTATTGATGCCTTAAACATATGAAATAATAGATAACAGAGTTATCCAGAGGATGCTGCTTCAAACTATTCAGCTAAATAATCCGGTGTAGAGAAATACAGCTTATGATTGTTGTATGGTCAACCAGATAGAGATAAAGAGGGGAAAAAAGACTTGCTGCTGGTATCTGAATTGAAATCAAGTGCATGGACAAATTGCAAAACAAATAGTGTAAGTACAGAATCATAAAAATGTCTGGCTTATATTTTCTGAAAGTGCTGCTCTTGCTCAAACTGATCCAAACCTGGTTCTGTGCAGTGCGTTCAAACTGCGTATCACACAGAGGGATCTGGCAACCCTGCAAGAGGGCAGCTGGCTCAACGATGAGGTAGCATCGTTTTAAAAGGCTTCTTAGGAATGCACAATATATTGGTACCATACTGGATAACTTGTTTACTTCGTATTGGCTGATATTGGATATTTAGTTGTGTATTCACTTTTCTGCTGTTTTTACAATACTTTTGCCGTCATGTAATGCTCACTTAAAGTTCATAATTAAAAAAACGCAATAATTTAATGTCTTATATATATATATATATATATATATATGTCATTCTGCAAACTCTAAATTACACTATAACGTTGTAATATGTCAAGGACATTGAAAGCAGTTGGTTCAGGGAAATGAAATCAGCTCATGAGCATGAGGAGATACTGCTGTTTTTAATTTTTCTCTTCTCTGTGATTTTCAAGTTTACCACATTTATAGTCTATGCTGCAGTCATATGTTGAAAATGTGGTGTTTTTATCTCGTTTCCGGTCCTCAAAATTGCTGTCATTCATAATCATATCTTTTTTTCTAGAAATTGATTGTAATATTAAAAGGTTTTTATATAGTATTTTTATATATTTATTCATTTTTCATTAAAGGATGTTTACTTTTTTTGTGTGTGTGTTATTGGTGTTAAATACTGGTGTGTGCAAGGAATGTGGACACCACAAACATTGTAATCTGAAACTGTAATTGGCTTGATTGTATAGTTCCTAAATGATTTCCAATAGCTTAGAGAGTAAAAACATATTTTTCTGTGCCGTACTATATACTTTTACAGAAGACAGATGTGCTCTGCCTTGATTTCCGATGTCATATCCAACTGACCTTGAGACTTCACTCCTCAAGTTTGTCAGTTTTATTTACATGCACTTCCAGTAAGTCTGCATTTGTCTCTCCCCTCTAGATCTCTTACATTGATGAACCAACTAATGGATGTCGCATCTCTCTGCGAGTCTCTCTTCTCTGTGTTCTGGACACAGATCAGAGTGCATCCATGACCCTCTTCGCAACATGAACTCAAGCTGGGAGATACGTAGAACAAAAGCGTAACCATCCAGCTGTCCGTCAGCTGGTCGACCCCTGACTTTTGGAGGGGAAGCAAAAACAAAGCAAAGACAAAAAATTACAAAGATGCTAAAACGTGGAGAGGAGATGCAGCGAGATCTATGGACTTCTCTCCTGCTAGTATGGATTACTTGTGTGCCGTACTCTTCCATGGCTCCGTTAAACAATCAGTCACAAAGTTTACAAACGGCATCAGCCATGATCCCGCGAAACCGGCCAAGCGAAGGACAAAGAATCCTCAGTCGTGCCAAGAGAGGATGGGTTTGGAATCAAATGTTTGTGTTGGAGGAGTTCTCTGGACCCGATCCAATTCTGGTTGGCAGGGTGAGTAGTCTAATTGTCGGCTGAATATTAAGCTTACTTATCATGTGGAAACATTAATTCTGCTGCCTCAATGCCTTTTCGTTTGACATTTTGTGAAGGAGCAATAATTGCCGTAAAGAAGAGGGCAAGGTTGGCATCGCTGACTCTCGCACAGTTTCCATCTTTAACAGTTCAATTAGGCCGAGGAAAAATACAACTCTGGATGCTAATTTATGCACGGTGTTGTATTTCACAGGCTCTGGGAATGTTCTGCAACGAATCCAGAATTAAGGGATTCGGAAGGGAAAACTCAAAATGAATTTTACAGGCGTAGTGTGCAATTTGCCCCATGCATATGTGTTTATGTAGAGAGGTGAGATGATATGGAGATAATTACGGGATAGGAGAGCAACCTGGCATCGGACCTGTGCAGAGAGCTCTGCGTCCTGAGAGGACTATAGTATGAGCAGGCCAAAGTAGCTTGTTCACAGATCACTGCAAGCGTGAACCTCGGGAGCCCAACCTGGCACTATGCTTGTCCAACTGCTAGCACTTTACCGTAGCCAACAAGATATGCTCGTTCCTCATGCTCGTTTTTTTTTTTCCTCAAACAAGGTTAAACTTCCTTACATATTTTGAATCAATAGTATATTACAACCTTTCCTAAACTCATTTTTTATTATGTTAATGTGACCTTTCATATTAGTTTTTTTTATTTTGTATTTTTTTAATTGTATTTTTATAGTTTCGGCTTCCTTGGTAGGCCAGCATTGATTGGGCTTCAATTTTATGCTGTTTTTTTTCTCCTTAACAAACCACAAGGTTAAGTACTCATGAGCATGGCTTGCAGAGCTCAGATAAGTTCCATGTTGCAGCGAGATAGGAAGCCATGCTGTTGGAAGAGATTGAACACCGCTCCTCTCCCTTTCACCCTCTCTTTTTCACCGCCTCACTCCATCACCTAAGATCTGCAGTCCTCCCTCACTCTGTCTCTCTAATTAAAAAATGAATCAAATAAAGAGTGGGAGGTGTGTGATTCAAATGGGTCATTCAAACCAGCATGTTTTTTTTTTCCCTTTTCCTGCCATCTCTGCCAGGCATGTGGTTGTGGGCTGATTATCGAGGAACCTCAGGCCGAGATTACACTCATTTCATCCTTTAGCTTTTATTACGTGCCGGTCTGATGTTTAATTATACACCCGACTCCTGTCTTGTCAGTGCCCGGACTCCCCTTGAGCACCAGCTGCCAGTCGGAGGAGACGATTAGCATACGTGTAGAAGTGGGCATGGCAGGGCTAAGAGAGACAGCAGAGAGAGAGAGCCACCGAGGAAGGGAGAAGAAGAGTTAGCTATGGTACACGACAGCAGGCATCACACTGTTTGACGTGGTTTTGTGGTCTCGGTGGTCCGACTCACTGGGCTGGCAGTGCAGCTCGCCGTCACCTGGTTCTGAAAGGTGCGTCAAACACGGCACAGCTTGCGTTCCTTTAACATGACTGAGCTTGTTTTAGGTGGCTGTGAAGTTATAGGGGAGGCTAGGGCTAGTTGTCACACTTCTTACTCTAGTGAGGATTTCTAGGGGGAGGTTTCTGTTTGAAAGTGAGTTTCTGCATAGACATATGCGATACTGTTTGGTGTCAGTAAGATTTCTTTAATATTTCTATATATATATATATTACTATATTTCTATAATACATTTTAAAAGTCTGCAATTTTTTTTTAAAAAACACAGTAAAAATTTGAATTCTGTGAATATATATTCTTAATATTTTTGTGGGAATGGTGTTTTTTTTCCAGGATTCTATGACAGAAAGTTCAAAAGAACAACATTTATTTGAAAAATAAGATAGATAGATAGATAGATAGATAGATAGATAGATAGATAGATAGATAGATAGATAGATTGCCATTATGGTTTTATTTTCTTTACTAGTTTACCCGTAAGTTATTGTAAAAATTATGAATTTTAGTTTGGAGGATAACATTTACAAAAATGATCTATTTTATTTTCACCTTTTGTTCTAAGAGTGTTTTGAGTTGGCTATTTGAAACCCACATACAAAACAACTGCTAGAAAGAAAACATATTATGTAATTAGATTATTCAGTCAGAACCTTGCTAAGAAATAGCACTGCACCCCTGTCTCTCGAACAGTATGATACATTCTCACAAATATGTTTGCTAGTTTTGCATCCATTAGCTTTTACCACAAATAAATGATTTATCCATGAACAGTGTACGGACTTGCCACCAAAATAACCACACTGTACGTCTTCATCACTTAACTCTAAATCCATTACTGGCTTATGTCCCAAACATGTGGATTGCACATGAGATTTCTAACTGAGTACTAGTTGTATTCGATTTAGATGCATGATATCTTTATATAACCCTCATAACAGTGAGATGGCAGAAAATAACACATTGGAGGCTTTGTCCAACAAAGAGCAATTTAGACGTGTTTACTTAAAACATTTTCAGTTTTATTACAACATATGTTAGTTAGATCCTATCTTGCACATGTCTTTGTTCCCCTTATTTAGGCTGGAGCGTGTTGTGAAGCCTAATCACAATGGACATCATTCTTCTCTTTGGAGTGGAGATGTACTCTGCACAAATTAATAGCACTGCTGTGTGATGCCTTTTCTTACCATAATGTGCTCTTATCTCTGATGGGATTATGTGTGTTTGTAGCAAAAGGAGCATGGATAATACGCAATTCATATTTATCAATCTGAGCTAAAGAACAAGATCACTGGGAGTATCAGTTTGAATACAAGAGAACGCCATTGATTATTTATTCACAAAAGAAAATGGATACGTGTCTGTTGACATTTGTTTGCCTTACAGGGGGCATGACAACACTTGATAGATAGCGTGTATGAGCTGGAAAGCCATCAGCCAGGCTGTGAATGATTCCCCTTTTTTATTATGTAAAGATTTTTTTTTCTATATCAAGAAATTGTGTTTTGCTCAAGCAAACACCAGTTGATTTGACGCATGTCTCCTTTATGCTGATGTCCAGTGTACTGTGAAGCTGATTTCAGCATTAAAGCCAGAATAACTGCTCATTCTATGCTTTTGGAACCTATTTGTTTAAGGGGGAGGGGAGGAAATTAAAGGGACATTTACCAGCACAGATCTGGCCTACATAAAGGCATGACTCCATTTTGGGTTTAAACCCATATCATTATCTCTCATATTTTCATTCAACACACATTAAGCAATAATGCATCCCTGTAAATAAGCGTGTGAGCTCAATATTATTCTCTGACGCTTCATTAAATGCGAGCCTACAACTTAACCTTGAAATATTCATTATGTTATTATTAATTACATTACAATATTAAATATGAATAACTTTGCTATCAAATATTAATTAGTAGCGCTCTGTCATTTTGTAATGAAAGCCAGAGTGGATTAGTTTCACTGAGCACAATGACTGGAGCTGAGAAGGGATATAAATCTAACGTCGGTCGGGCGTTAAAGCTACACTGCTCCAATTCCGAAATAAAATAGCCCGTTTTACAGTCGAGGGACGTCGTAGAAATGCTGGTGTCTAAAAGTGCTTTAGTGGCATTTGGAAGTGTGCCCTATAGCTAAGGGGAAAATAAAAATATTGTGACAGTTTGAATGTAAGAAGCAGTGAATCCCTGAAACGGACAATCGATTCATGTTCTCTGTGCTGCCTGTGATGGGATTTGCTGTTAACTGCCACTTTGGTTTTTTTTTTGTGACCATGATATATTGCTGGAAATCCACTGAAACTGTCCCAACTATTCTACCGAGGAAGCGTTTTGCTTTTAAACGGTGGCGTAGCAAAACCTTTATTTTTCTAGGAGAGTGTCTCTGTGGAAGACAATACCATGATGATTGTTTCAGAGGATTTCTGGATGGAGCTAGGGTTGATCACAACAAGCCCGACCTTGTATATTACTACTATTGTAATATATGCACACAATAAGCAGTTCTGTTGTTCAGTCGCTCCTGGTCACAGTCTGTACTGAGTGGTGCGAGTTAGACCACAGAGCAGTACTTGCCCTGTTCAACCTTCTTGACACCTCATGAATTATCTATATTCCTCCCACTGATCCACTCTGGAGAGTTACAGCTCTAACTCTCAGCTGTTTTGCTGCGTGTTTCTGTTGCTCTGAAAAACTCTACAGCTTCTCACTTTCAGGTAACTAAACCTGCATACCAGACTGCTAGCCTCAGACTGCTTGCCTACGAACCACCCACAGACCGTGCATTAACCGCCTGATACGTGTTGCATGCAAATTTGGAAAGCACTTTATCAATCTAGTAAATTCAAAACTGATTGGCTGATTTTACATAACTTGAAAGATTAAGGTCACAGAGGTGCGTGCTTTTAATCAGTTCTTCTGGGAACACATACGTACAGATACAGCTAGCGCTTCTGAAGATGAAATAATCTCTGGATTTGATTTGCTTGTTTGAATCTTTGAGAGCTTTGTGTGTGTCAATTTAAATAGATATCTTCATGTAAAAACTATATATTCTGGTTTGTTTTATAATGCAGTATGAGAGATAAGTTGTGTCCCAAATGATATACTATGCACTTATATAATTCAATGTACTCTACTGTCTAGTGTATGGATTTTTTTAAGGTTATTTTGTCATCTGTCAGAGCCTGTTAGCCCCTTCCTCTCCTCTACAAAAGAAGCTTTAAAGGGGGGTTAATTAAATGCATAACCTGGATATTTGAAGTGCACTAACTAACTAACTTACTAACTAACTAAATGAATGAATGAATGAATGAATGAATTAATTAATTAAATATCTAGTATAATCTCTAGTCATTTTCAGTACTCCCTTTGTCTGAGTGTTTTCTGCACATTTGCAAACAATGCCACAACATTATTAATTAATTCATTTATTTATATATATATATATATATATATATATATATAATTATTATTATTAGTGTGTGTGTGTGTGTGTGTGTGTGGTATAGATAGCTTCTCCTGTCTAAGTGGGTGGTTCTTGGCCAGAATGAGCTG